CGCAAAGGCACTCTGGGAAAATTTCATTGTTCATTATGGGTTCCCAAGTCGCCTCCTCAGTGATCAAGGAAGGGATTTTGAATCCCATACCATCCGCGAGTTATGTGCCCTCATCGGAGCTGACAAAGTGAGAACAACACCTTATCACCCACGTGGCAACCCGGTCGAGAGATTTAATAGAACACTCCTCAGTATGCTTGGAACCCTTGAAGAAAAAGATAAACATCATTGGAGAGACTTCGTGAAACCCCTTGTACATGCGTATAATTGTACGCGGAACGACACCACCGGCTATTCGCCCTACGAGTTGATGTTTGGGCGCCAGGCTAAACTACCAATTGATCTTGTTTTTGGCATCCATCCTCCAGGTGAAAGACCCAGAACTCACTCCGAGTATGTGACGAAACTACGAGAACATCTTCAGGAGAGCTATGAACTGGCTGCTGAAAATTCCCGCAAAATGAGTGAAAAGAACAAGGCAAAGTTTGATCTAAAAGTTAGAGTGGCTGAACTGATGCCCGGTGACAGGGTCTTGGTGAGAAATTTGAGTGTGAGGGGTAAGCACAAACTTGCCGACAGATGGGAAAAGATGGTCCACACTGTGGTCAAGAGAATTTCAAATGGTCCTGTTTATGTGGTAAAGCCGGAAAAGAGTAATGGTCCCCATCGTACCCTTCACAGGGATCTCTTACTGCCCTGTGGGTTCTTGCCTGCGAGCCCAGTAAAACAGATGCCTGGGACAAATTTAACTGCGAACAGAAAACGTAAGATAAGGACAAGGGCTAATACTGAAGTGCGAGAGGGTGATGAATGTGAAGAACAGTCTAGTGATGAAGAGGGAGGTTACTTTCAAATACCTATTCCTGAAATAGTTACAAGGAGTCCCTTCGTTAAACAAGTGGATGATGGGTTGCTCACCTCTCATAATGTTCCTGCAAAATCATCAGACCAGTTGAACCCTCATGCAGTCGAGTTTGCTCCATGTACTTCAACTATACCTAGATCAGAGCCTGTTCAGCCTGTGATTGAACTCACAAGAGAAGCATCTGAGATTGTTACTGGCGGTGCACCAGTCTTTCCTGCCACAGAATCTGTTGGGATTGAAAATGCCCCTGATTATATAGCCATTGAAATTCCAGAAGAGATTGTACCAGCTGCAGGGTCAGAATTCCAAGAATTGTCCCACAGTTCAGTTGACACTGAATCCGTACCCCTCAGACGTTCAGGTCGAGAAAGACGGCCACCAAAGACATTAGAATATGAGGAATTAGGGAAGCCCATATTACTTGCTCTTACATCATTTTTTGATTCCCTGGGAAACATTCTCGCTGCCAGTCTTGTTGCTAACACGCATGCAGGGACTCATGCGGTTTAGAGGGGGAGAGTGTAACCCTTGATATTTCTATCCTGTTTTACTTCTTAGTCTCACTTCTTTAAAACTTAGTACTGCCCCTTTAAGAGGTTGGGTAGTTTATGCGGGGAGAGAGTGCACAGCAATAGCGCGCAGAGTGAATGTGCATGAAGCACGGACAAAACGCATAGCGTGTGAGTAATTTCGACTATGCTGATTAAAATAAGCATTTATATTGCAAATTGTCTTTGAATAGCTGGTTTATTGTTTATATGTCAGCTGGGAGGTTGAATTTGAAACACTGTGGAAGAGAAGTCGAAGACTTATTGCTTTCCGTGACTTTTCTGAGACATTCTGGTGAGTGTATTCTGCTTGTAACGAAATATTTTGTTGTCCTATTGTGTTATTATTTGAGCAAAACCAGTCAGAATGTATTCATGTCAAAGAAAATGTGGTTAAATTGTTCATGTGGGTGTTGAAGATGAGAGCAGCTAAGTATAGCACCACGATACTAGTTTTGCTAGTCAAGGAGAGCACGAGGTGTGCAATGCTCATGCTTATTGTGTTTTTCACGTCGAGTGAAATTGCTAATGTATAAAATGTAACTCTGTTAAATTGATTTATGTAAAAGTGTATTGCTAGCTCTCAAATTGGAAAAAAGTGTTCAAAGCAGGTTTGCTTCATAAACTTTATTTTATAGGAGGAGGAAAAGGAAAATATGAGTTAAAAAATACATGTGATCTCTCTTACAAGGAATGGTTTACGTGTTTGATGTTGTTGATGTAATCAATTTAAAATGTACATTTGTGCAGACTGTTTTCCCTTGGACTGTTGTTCGGTGATACATTTGGACCTGAATCATCTGAGTGGATTCCTCCGGAACAAATTCTCTTCATCATCTCATAGCACTCTGTCAACTCATCAGCTCTTCTTTCTTTCGTACTTGATTAACTGAATGGTATTCCCGGTGAAGTGGTAGGACTGAGATATATATATTTTTTTTTTTCCACACATTACACGGGACTGAGATATTTTTTTACACACACTACATGGGACTGAGACAGTTTCTTTCCAAACTTTCTTTCCTTGGGTTACAATTGCATTGTTGTTATCTGTTATGAAGCTCAATTAATTGTTGGAGATTGAGTGTCATTCATTGTTAATCACTTTGGTTTTAAAGTGCCAGAACAAAGAGCATTTAAATTGATTGCCTCACAAAATACATTTCTGGCTAACTTAAATTCTTGTGTGTGGCATTATTTATTTTACTTTTTCATGATATTTCAGTTGTTCATTTAAATTGAGAATTTGGTTTAAAAGGAAAAATACCCCAAAGCTCCTTGAACGAACTTAGACAATTGATATTTTCAATTAGATCACAAATCCCTGAAGTAAACCCTGGGATAAAGGGGGTTACATGTACAAACGTATAAAACCCCACACAAAATCCATGTACAAATGTACAAAGTTATTTTGTAATTAACAAATGAGAGGCATAACATTTATATGCTGTTGACACATTCCCTATAAATCATATGAATCATAATAACTGACTTCACTTTTAAAACATTACAATGTAAATCCTATGTCAACCTATTAAAAATTCAATACTGGGTGAGCTGCTATAACTCAAAACGGAGAATAAATCTCTTTATGGATGAAACAAATTTGGTTTATTTTATTAAAATATACATATACTGATATCCAGGGTGCGAACTACGGGGGAGCTTGGCTCCCCTTAATAAGACATGGGCTCCCCTGAAAACGGGATTTGTGAAATTTTGGGGGGTCTCAAAAAATTTTGACAATGTGTTATTTTGACGTGCAATTTCAGTTTTGTGTAATGTGATCATCGTGGATTATTATGTGTAAAATTGCAAAAATATCATTTGTTGTTTCACCTATCAATTCGTGTCGATAAAGTATAATAGGGTAAATCCTGTATAGTGATTTATCCTATATAGTGCTTGCATAAAGCAAGTAGTGCATACACTTGTAGCGGTTATGTATCTTTGTAAGTCATTGTAAGCCCTCTTTTGAGGCACGCGCACGAACACCCCGCCCCCCGACTGTAATGGCTGCTGAAAATTCCGATGCATCACAGGAATAAATGACATTTTAAACATATTACAATAGAAATTTATTAATAGAAATTATTCAAATATATTACAATTTTAATTATATTCCACAATATTACAGTTTAATTGTATTTTTAATCAAATAAAAGCAACTTTAGTGAGCATAAGAGACTTCTTTCAAAAACATTTTTAAAAAAAATCTTGCTGACCCCAAACTTTTGAACAGTAATGTATGTTCGCACAATGGAGAAAAAAAAAAAAGTGTATAAACAATTTTCTCTCAGAAATTGTAAGAAACTGCAAGTAACACATTGAATTAAACATGACATTTTTAAGTAGAATGACTGAAACTTCTTGTAAAACTTACTCCAATAATCTTTGTTTTATTCACAACTTCAAAAAAAAAAATTTTTTTTACAGTGTAATAAGCAATGGAGAAAGATGAGAAGCATGCATTTTCTCCATGCATTTCTTTTACATACATTACATGGACATCATCTAAAACATTTAGGTAATAATTGTTTCATAGTGTTCATAGTGAAAGTCAATGTGGTCCAAAACAACACTACACCTCACATTCATTGCATGGACAATTCGTTTTTCCAAAACATCTTCTTTTGTGTTCTGCAGAAATCTTACAGTTTCCATTTTTGGGTGAACTGCTCCTTTAAGCATAATCCAAAATCCCATCTACCATTCCCATGTTCCACCGCTCCATTACTGAAGTCACTGACAGTCAGTGTTGGGGAGTAACTAGTTACATGTAATGGCGTTACGTAATTTAATTACAAAATAAATGTAACTGTAATCAGTTACAGTTAGAACTCATAAAAACTAATTTAATTGAACTCATGTTCAGTATTAGGATTTTTCTATAAAGATATTATAGTGATGTACTAATTTTGACATGTAGGCAATTTAGAAAGTATAGTTTTGTTAAATCTTGAGTATTAAAGTCATGTGAGAGATAGATATCAGGGCAAAATAAAGAGACTGAAAAGAAAAATGGAAGTGAAGGTGCAGTTAACAGTTGCAAATAAACATTCATTAGAAATTTAGAAAAGTAATCAAAAGTAATCAGTTACATTACTTTAATAAAGTAATTGAAAAAGTTACACTACCATTACATTTTAAATAGGGTAACTTGTAATCTGTAACCTATTACATTTCCAAAGTAACCTTCCCAACACTGCTGACAGTCAACGAAGACCCATAACCACAATGTTTTTTAAGCAGGCAGCATCATAAGTACAACAGCTGTACTCGCCTTTCCAGTCCCCTCTCTTCTTTAGCCATCTTTCCTTCCTCTGGGCTCTTCTTCTTACCCGCTCATTCTCTCTCTTTTGCTCTCTGACAAATTCAGCACATGCAACCAGGCTCATTTTCAGATGCTGTTCGTGTTTGCAAGCTCAAGAGCTGACGGGCCTGATAAGGAGAGGAGACGAGGGCCTTTAAGTTGGGCCTCTTTGGGCACTCTCCCGCTCGCACTCTCAAACAGCCTCTCTGAGCCTGCAGTGTTAGACCTCCGGGAATCATCTGCATGTCGCAGCTAAAGCCGCTCTTGAGGTTTATCGCTCTGTTTACTGTAATCAGTCAGCTCAACAGCCATTACGAGAAGCACTCCATGGACATCTCAAACGCTTTGAGTGGAGGTGAAAGGTTTCATTAAAGCACGTGTGTCACTTCTATCAGCGCCGGGGCACACTCACCATTCCCTTCCTTTTTAGTGTCTGTTTTCCCTTCTTTTTTCAATCAGTCTCCTTCTTTTTCTATCTCTCGCTTTTATGTTCACAGGCCGACGCTCAATCTCACTCTCTCTTTATAGTGACTTTGGAGAAATTACACCTGCTTTGAGGTCTGAAATGCAGATGTGTGGGTGTGATGGAAATGTTGATGGTGTGAAATAGTTTTTGGTGAGGAAAGTGATTCTGACTAAAACAGAGGGAGAGAGAGACTGACAGGAAGCACTTCCTGGGATCTTTAATGAAAGGAAGCCACATTCTGCAAAGCCAGTCCTTGTTTACTAAATCTAAAACCTATTAACAATGTTTTTGGTAACTGAAATAAAGGTGAAATAAAATAAAATATGAAGGAAAAACTTAAACTTGAAAGAAAATGAAATAAAAATTAATCAGTATTTTTGTCTCGTTTTTTAGTAAAATGCTCTAAACATCTTTAAAACAAGATGCATTTACTTTAAAATCTTAATTGCATAAGATATTAAAACTTGCTTACAAAGAATAAATCTTGAATTAGGTTTATTTTTCTTACCCCACTGGTGATATCTTGTTTTATGCATTTAAAATGAAGGAAGGTTCAGGCTTAAAACAAGAAAAAACAAAATCATCAGTGGGGTAAGAAAAATAAATGTTAGAATTTAAGTGGAAACAACACAAAAATACTGATGCAACACTTCTCAGTCAGATATGATTTTACCACCAAATAAAAAAGCAAAAACAGGTGGAAAGTAGGAACATAAATTAAGTGTTGTTCTCCTCCATCTGTCTTTTCATTTGGGAAAACAGGAAGTAAGAATAATAAGGAAGTTTGTATTACTACTCTATAATATTACAGCCTTGGTAAATGGCAAAGCTGTTAGCAAAAATCAATAAAATGGCACACCAACAAACAAAGCACTTCAAGATATTGAGTGCCTTCATCTAAACATGCTTATGAGAGTTCAGGGAAAGTCACCACGGACTAAATTGTTTGCATCACTTCAGTCCTCTTTAATCAGATGTCATTTTTTCTTCTTTTTTTTGTTATTCTTCTGTGTTTCACAAACTTGACAAAACTGAAATATTTTTTTCTTATGATAAGAACTTGATACATTGCAGTATTACTTGATGCTTTGATAAAACCAACCTGATCATATGCTGCAAAAAATTGTGTCATGTAAAAATATCTATAAAACCAGAAAAATGGTGTTAGAATAAGAATCTTGAATTGAGTTTTTCTTTATCTAAATTTAAGCTAACATTTATAATTAATTTATAATTATAATATTAACATTACTGTATTAAATGACAAAGAAAAATATATTTGTCAATGGGTAGGAAAAATTAATATATGAGTCCCAATATCACATTATTTTTTTTTCTATTTTGTACTTTAACAATGTTTAGATGTGTTTACTGGAAAACAAGGCATAAATACTGACATTGTTTTCTTAAAATATTTCAGGGCACATAAAGTCCCATGCAGACTCTTCTACATAAGATTAAGTGAGTAAAATCAGCAAACAGTGCTGTGTTGTGGGTTGCAAACTTTAAATACAACTGTGGAGAATAAGCTAATGTAAGATAGCCACGTGGATGGGCTGCCA